AGTGCGTGCGAGCACTGAATGGTTAAACACTGGCAAGAATTTAAAAGTAATGCAATTTATAAACTTTACGATGACGATTTCGGAGAAGGGTCTGGCTGCAGACTTGCACTTACACTCTCAGACTTGCATTCTCAGACTTGCACTCTCAGACACTTGCGCTTCCGCAAGTGACGTCACTTGCAGTCTTTATTTTTCATTTTGTTCTATTTATTGTTGTTAATGTTCCTGTGGCTCAGTGGTAGAGCATTGCATTAGCAGAAGGTCGTGGGTTCAATTCCCAGAAAACACACATACTGAGAGGGACACGGGAAGTAGGGGTTCTGAGGGGGCTGCAGCACCCCCTGTTTTCACATGGTTGCAAATGCAACGCCAAGTTTGTTCATTTAAATTTATTCAGTTTTAGCATTTAATAATTTATTTGTAATGATCTCACTTCACTTGCAGTCTTTTTTATTTTTTATTTTGTTCTATTTATTGATTTTTTTTTTTTAATCTCTCAATATTTTACAACAGTAGCCAGGTGGTGAAGACAAGAAAAAAGAAACTAAATTACAATGTCACTTGCAATCGCCACTTGCACTCTCCGATACCTGCGACGTCACTTGCAATCGACACACATCGTGCGTGTTGCCAATGGAGACAAGACGCTGTGGTGGTGATTTAATGATTAAAACTAATTTAGTACAATAACGTACTTTCCTGCAAGAAAAAAAAGACAAGACCCGCAAATCCGTGGCCACAGAACAGTAGAATATGAACGCAATGCACAAAGTCTCTCGTTAAGCGTTTTCCTCCCGTAGAAAAACATAAACACTTAATATGGCTTAATGTATTAAGATGCTATTCAAATATCAAATTCAATATATAGTTTATTAATATAATAATTATGTATATAGTATTTTCTTCCCATGCCGCAAAACGTGGCATAGATGGCCATGAACACAATGCGCAAACTTTCACTTGTCCTCCCATACAGCAAAACGCTTAATGTGGCATAATAACGGACTAAGGCGATAAAGACAAGTCAGTAGCCTATACTTAAGCCTATGTCTTGTTGTTGACGCAAAGTATATACAGACCAGCAGATATGAACATGCATTATGAAATGCATTAAGTGATATTAAAAGGATCAACTCCTTACAGGCAAGCAAACGAGCCCAGAACGCAATGCATTAAATTGCATGTTAAACATTTTCCTCCCATAAAAAAATAATTATAAATAAAACACGTAATGTAGCTTAATGGACAAAGACAATGATATAAAAGAGCTGTAGAAAGTTTATTCTATATGAAAAACGCGTAACGCGAAACTTTGCGTGTTACGTTTATTCTGGGCTCACCTGCTTGCCTGTACATAGTTATGTATATTTTAATAATGAAGAGGACCATATTGAGTTTGGTCTTTATTATCATCTTAGTCCATTATGCCACATATGCCACGTTTTGCGGCATGGGTGGAAAATACTGTATACATATTCATTATTTTAATAAACTGTATATTGAATTTGATATTTTAATAGCATCTTAATACATTAAGCCATATTAAATGTTTATATTTTTCTACGGGAGGAAACTGCTTAACGAGAGACTTTGTGCATTGCGTTCATATTCTGCTGTTCTGTGGCCACGGATTTGCGGGTCTTGTCTTTTTCTTGCAGGACCCTGTATGTTATAGTACTAA